AGTTAGTTACATCCCATTCAGAGTTTCAAAATCTAAATAATCAGATCTCTCATTAATTATTATTTTTAGTATATTATGTACATTCTATTATGTAAGATTGATATATATGCAGCTCAAACCAGAGTATTCAATTGCCGTAATATGCATTATCTTTTCACGAGTTGCTGCTGATAAAATGTCTTTTGCTATTAGAGTTTTCATATTAAACTCAAACATATTTTTACTGTGGGAAAGCTTTGATTCTATTATACTGCTTTCATTTTACTCTATAGAGAATTATAGGCAGTTATTCTGTGGTTTTTTTTTTTTTTTCGTTCAATATAATTTAGGACCATTCTTTTTACTCTGTTTTATGTTATTTTATTTTAATTTTTTTAATGTTTTTAATTAATTATTTATTTTTTAATTAATTAATTATAAAAATTATTTATTTATTTTTAAAATTTAAAATTTTTTAAATTTAAAATTTTTAATTATAATTTAAATTTTTAAAAAAAAATTTAGAAAAAATTTCTAAAGAGAGAAACTTATAATTTAATTTTTTTTATTTAAAATTTTTTGCACTTTTTTATTTTTAATTATAATTTAAATTTTTTAAAAAAAATTTACAAAAAATTTCTAAAGAGAGAAACTTATAAAGGGGATTGATGAGAGACAAATTTAGAGAGAGAAACGAGTTGAATGCAATATAGAATAAATGTGTGTTTATTATGTGATGGATGAAATATGGGTTGAATATGGTTAACCCATCCCATCTTGACCCTCAAATTAAGTGGTCAAAAATTACCCAACCCATCTTGACCCTCAATTAAATATAGTTCACCCATAATTATTAAAAAACGAACGAATATAAACGGATTGATGATTCCTGACAAGTATTTAATACTAATACATATAACTGAAAGATAAGCTATAGTATTCCCCCCAACAACTACAAACCTGTAGGAGTTAGCCTCTGCTTTACTTGCTTTAGAGTTACACGTCCGTTGTCATTTCACTCCCGATCATTTACATCATTCTCATGTTTTATTTCACTCCCGATCATTTACATCATTCTCATGTTTTATTATTGAAACAGTGAGCGTACACCGACCAAGGATAAGCTTGAGCTAAAAGCTTGTAAACAAAGGGTTACAAAACCTCAACCTAATGTATTTTGTGCCAAGTCATTTTTTTTGTTTACAGGGGTGTCGTTCTCACATTCTTGCATCAACGTTTCAACCCTCATTCTCATTTTTTATGATTTAAATTTTGTTAGTTTCGTATTTCTGTTCTAGCACAGACTCCCGCTTTGCATAACTTAGATTTTGTGTACTTGTTTTATGATTTTTTACATATGGAGAATATTGATATATCATATGAACATTAAATTTACCAATCTCTATAATATAGTAACGTTGGGTATCATGCATGGTTCACAGTAGCGGACCTAGTCACAATGTAACGGACTCGAACAAAATCAATATAAATTGATCGAAACGACCGATATGAGACCCTTAAAAAAGGATCACATATCGGTTGATACGGCAAACCATGGTATCATGTTTCATAAATTTATAATTTTCATATATATATATATATATATATGTTTCTTAATTCACACTTAAATTATTATTATAATCATTTTCAATGACTAACACGATCTTTTGACATAAACATTTTTTTTTAAGAGAGAAAAAAAAAAAATCAGATGAAGTTATGTGAAGTCTATCCTTCCCCACTTTTTTGCATAACATTCTCAAAAGAATGGAGTTGACATTAAGATAAGAGGTTTCTTAATTCACACTTAATAATTATTATAATCATTTTCAATGACTAACATGATCTTTTGACATAAACATTTTTTTTTTAGAGAACAAAAAAAAAAAAAAAATTCAGATCAAGTTATTTGAAGTCTATCCTTCCCCACTTCTTTGCATCACATTCTCAAAAGAATGGAGTTGACATTAAGATAAGAGGCATTAAAAGAAAAGAAAATCAAATAATCAGAGAACAAAAGATTTGTTAATTAGTCATATATTATATATATATATATATATATATAGTATATATTTAAGATAAGAGGCATTAAAAGAAAAGAAAATCAAATAATCAGAGAACAAAAGATCTGTCACTATTATAAATTTTCTTGGCTTTATCGTCCGCTGTCATTAACCTGACATTGATTGTTCCAGCATATTTGAATGGCACCTCTTACTCCGCAGAATCAACCAAGTTTCTTATCTTTGATGTTCAAACTTACCTTTTTGACCATCTCATGAAAGGTAAAAAACTCACTCTCTTGGCCCTAAGAGCACCAAAGGCCCTATGTGTTTGCTGTTCCCTTGGAATTGCTATAGTTCTAAATTTTGTTCACATGGTCAGCTCTAAAGAGACTGGATATTGTAATGAACTAGTTATCAGCTTCTTTTGTTCTATATATATATATATATATTATTTGAAAAAACATTAAAAAAAAAATATATACGTCTGACATTGAAGCAACAGAAATTTAGTAGGGTACTAATTTCCCTTACATACTGGTTTTAAACTTTAGGAAACTCTAATCACAACTTTTAAAACAGGATTGACCTTACAATATCCAGTCTCCTTAGAGCTGACCATGTGAACAAAATTTAGAACTATAGCAATCCCAAGGAAACAACAAACACTTGGATGCAACTAGAGAGTCATCTACACTCATGAAATGGTTTTTTTGGGGGAAGAAACATGATTACAGATGGAAAAAAATGTGCTTTCAAAACATTTTGGCATAACGCACGTGCATGTTGATAGTTAAATAGGTAGACGGACATAAAGCAGAGTTAGATGGATAAGAGGATGGAATGGACGATGATTGGTTGGAAAGACTGACCAATAGATAGATGGAGGGACAGATGATGACAGTTGACAACACCATTTCATCGGATGGACAGATATGACACTTAACAACACCATTTCATCCAAAGACGATGGGAAACTCTACCAAATATTATAGAAATATATGTAGTTGATTTTTTATTTGAGCAAACAATTTATTTTTCTTCGTAGCTTTAATAATGGATAATACTGTCAAAGTCGTAATAGAGTCATAGATGCTGGCAAATCAAAAGGAGGGTACGTAAGACGACAGCAGCAACAAAGTTCCCACAAATTCTTAGAGTCAATGAATGGGGAGAAAAATTGGGGAAGAAGTCCACGGCAGTCCATGTGAACTCAGCAGTTACAATAAGAGAACCTGTCAAAACTAAGGTCCGCAACATGATTGGTTTTGGATGGATGTCTAATTACAAAGCTATAAATATAGTCTATAATGAAAACTTTATTTGCCTAATGGACTGCCGCTGCATTATTCTTCAATACAAAATTACGTGTTCAAAGGCTTGGGAAACTTTTATTTCTTTCTTACTCCCTCCATTAATCTACCCTATTGCCAACATGTGGAAATAATGATACATTTGGATGAATCAATGGATTGAAATGAAGAGATCTAAATGTTGATTAAAAACTTAAGACTTAGATTGTCAAGCCCAAGAGGATGTTAGAGTAGAGGTGTGAGAGATGTACCTTATTAAGACAATAGTGCAACTCGTATCCTTATTGGCATGGATTTCAAATAATACCTTTTAATTGTTATTTGGAATCCATACTTATAAGACCTTTAAATCAATTTATACTTATTAGATCTTTAAATCAATTTATACAGCTTCTTGATACCTAAATCTAAATCAATTTATACAGCTTCTTGATATCTAAATCTAAATCAATTCATACAGCTTCTTGATACCTAAATCTAAATCAATTTATACAGCTTCTTCAGACCTAAATCTAAACTATCATATCTAAATCTAAGATATATTCCTTAAATAATTGAGCCTAAATCCAATCATTTTAAATCCCTAGAATCAAATGGAACCTAAAAGTACTTCGGGTCGCTATTATTCTAGAATTCATGGGGATAAACTTATAGGTTCAAGTACCTACTTCTAGAGGTAATAAGGTCAGTTTTAATACAACCTCCTTAAGCAGCTTGCTTGTTAAGTTAATTATGTCCTCAGTAATTAACCTCATGTATTTTACTAAGCACTTAAAACTCAAGTGACCTCCATATTATATACATAGGGGTATAGCTAACCTTTTCATGTTGCGAAATGGATGAATGAATAAGTATTGCGTGTCCTCGAGAGGTACCAAGTGGATTACGTCCGGGTACCTAGACAAACCTCTCTTTGTTCTTCTCCTCCCCCTTCCCTCCTATTTGTCCTATTTTTTCCTTCAAGTGTTTCATTTCCTCTCTTTCTCAAATATTCTTTCTTCCAAACCACCACTCTTTTTAAGACAGCCCCTATGCTCAAGGTCTATAATGCCATCTTGCATGATTTGCATCCTTTTTAGACATTTATAAGACATTCCTTTTCAGTCGTTCCTAGAGATCTTTGAGTTTTTTTTTTTTTTTTTTAATAGTCCCTATATGATTCTTCCATCTTAGGAAATTACAAGACAGTAGAGTAGGTACACATTCAATTCCACGGCATAATGAAAGTACATAGCAGTAACAAAAGCCAGAGATATCAGATATCAAGTTTGAAATACTAATATGGGCAGCATTTAAACTTTAAAGGTTAAACACAGCCACTTAAAACACCATTTGAGAGTCAGCAAGCACTTTTCTGCCTATGACTACCTAAGAAAACAAAAATGGGCTGCTGTTCTTGCAGAACATAAGAGTAGGGTGACTCCAATTCAGCAATTCAAAATGTGTCATTTACCGGAAGAAATCATGGCATTTTGCAATCCATCTTCACCTCTCCTAAGCCATCACTAAACCCACAAAAAATCCACTAACCGTAAACCAATTTTCAACAATAACTTAAAATATTGCTAATTGCCTGGGTCGACATTCAACGAATGTGTCCTGTCCCCTTTACAAGTACCCATCATTATGGTTGCAACTTAATAACATTCACATCTCGAACAATTATTCTTAGATAGCAATTCAAATTAAATAATTGTAAACACCATTTAGCAAGAAAAGAACAAATTCATATATCAAATATCTATTCAAATGACAGCCAACATGGCATCTTATACAAAACATGGACTGTTCCTTTGCATCAGAAGATACAAATCGCAGAAAGACATTTACGATACAGATTCACAAAGACCCACAAAGCCTCGATATGAAAGATAGAATTCAAACTAAACACAAATTAAAAAAACCATTAATTTCGTTATTTCTTGTTGCTTTTACCTCCAGCATCGCCCCCAGATGCCCCCTGTGCCTTCTTCGCATTCTTTTCTTGAAGCGCTTTCGCATCTCTATATACATAATACACTAAATTAAATACTAATTTTTTAAAAAAACAAAAAATAAATAAAAAAACTGAATCTTGGGGGAAAAAAGAAGAAGAAAAAACTAAGGCAATATTATAAAATAAATAAATAAATAAATAGAACCTTTCACGGCGTTGTTCAGGGGTCAACCCATCGTCTTTGTTCTTGCCCTTACCACCGGTTCGAGCCGCAGCTCTTTCGCGATCACGATCCCTCTGATTACCGCGTTGGTCAAATTAAGGAAAAAACACACATAGAATCTATACATGCACATACATACACAGATATATATATATATAGACACACAATTTATCATATACATATGTAAAGCAGTGAATTGTGAATGGGAAACATCAAAATCCTGAATTAAACCTAAATTTTATGAAGTGAAATCATGAATTCCTGCATCGAACAGAATCAATTGGAAACATTGAAATTGATTCTAAACATAGAATAAAATAATAAAACATCCAAAATTGGGAAAAGAAGGAACAGAAAGATCAAGGATATGAGTCATTGCGTCTCGACCTGATTAGGAAATCTTGCTGAGAGAAAGAGAAGTCGGTGAACTTTGGGGTTCTGACACAGAGAGAGGAGAGAGAGAGAGAGGCAATTATTGCTATTTACGGTTCAGGGCTGAGTAAGGGTAATAATAGGAACCGTTGATTAATAGGGAAAAAAAAAAAATCGGCGATTAGGACCATGACAGCTCAGAAATATGATTGGAGGACATTATTGGGTGTATAGTGGTGCATGGTAATGTAAATGTAAGTTTGTAAGGTGTTTCAATACTTGGCTGACCATACTAGTGAGAATTTTTTTTTTTTTCTTATTGGCACCAACAACTCACCTGGACAGATCCTTTGCGACCAACTCTAAGCTACAAATCTAAAAGTGTTATTGACGGTCTCACACCTAAGTACCAATAATATATTGGTGAGAATTGTTTATCAAAAACTCACTTTAATTTTTTTTTTTAACCAGAATTATTTTATGTTTTTGCATACAGACTAAAGCATATTTTATAAATTTCCTTTTATTTATTTATAATGTTAGAAAAGGCTCGAATCTTTTATCATTTACCAAACATTTTTCTTTGAATGGGTGTTGCTTTCCTCCAATTTAGCACAATTTGATGTGAAATTAAGCCAAACTATTTATAAAATGGACTACAGTTTTGTGAAATTTGACCCAAAAAAGTACAAATATAAAGTTTTAAAATTTATAATTTTTGTAAAAAGAATAAATTGTTAATATTTTGAAAACATTTTTTAAGAAATAAAAACATAAAGAGTTTTAAACAACCTGAAAATATAGTGTAGGCTTAATTTTCTAAAAACATTTTTCAATAGTTTTGAAAATGTAAAACAGATCCGGAAAATAAAAAAGAACATTCTATGAAACCTAATTTCAAATATATATTCCTTCATACCTATATATATATTCATGAATTTTTAAAATTGGACTATTCCTTTATACCTATCCATTTTAATATCATGTTACTTTTAAAAGTATTTATGTGATAAGAGAATAATATATGTTTTAAAGAAAATTTCTAAATGGCCATAGTTAGATCAATTATGTTGCATGGAGTTCAGCATTATGCCAAAAAAAAATGTATATAACATCTTTATCAAGGGTAATGTGAACGTTGCTTTTGGCTTTTCAAATACTGTTTTCGGTTTTTTTGGATTTGAAAATTGTTTTGGGTAGTGTTTGACTAACTTTAAAAAGAGTGCTTAAAAGAACGTTCAACTCTCCAAAACGTTCTTCTTAAATATACGGGAAGAGCTTTGGGTGTATTAAGAAAACTTTTTAAATGACAAGCGTACCCTTTGTATTATCTGATAAAAAATATAATTCTAACAGTATCCCTAAAAAAAAAAAAAAATCACTGAATTTTATTTCCAAACCCTAATCAGAATGGATTAGTAGACAGCTCTTGCCATCTTCTCCAAGGCCTCTCTGCCTGCGTCTGCTGTCAGCTTGCACTTTTTCTTTTTGGTCTCTATTTGTGGTAGAAGACCAGGCTTCTCTTTAATGTTTAAGAAATCCACAACTCATCATTATAGATGCAATTTATTGAGTCCAATTTGAAAGTGAAAAGACAAGATGAGGAGGGGAAGGTATCGAACTTTCTGCATTTGTATTAAAAAAAAAACTCACATCAGTGTTATGTGGCAATATTTCTCTTCACGCTCACAAGAACGATCTATCAAGTATTCAATCAGAGAAAAAAATTGAAGAAAATTATTGTTGCGGACTATTCTTTTTTTATTGTTCAAGTTCCAATAACTCATTAAATTATAGAATTGTGAAAGAGCCATTAAACAAGAGATCAGAGTGTACTTCTTCAATCTTCCAATCTATAATTTGACCTTGGTATTTCTTCTCTGCCTATTTCTTCATGTTTTTTTTTTTTTCTTCGATTTTATCTAAATATTTTTGAAACTCCTGACGAACAATCACCAGCTCCATCCTTCCAATTATTTACCATAAAAAATAAAGATTTTTTTTTATTTTATTAGATTAATTCACAAGTATAGCATTTTTTTTTGTGAAAAAATGGAATATAATATATCATTATAAAGAAATTATTCATTATAACTATTACATGGTGTAATGGACCCAAGCACATATATCATTTTTTTTACTTTATTATAAGTCTATTGATCGGTTACACCACGTTACAACGATAGGTTGCAATAAATAATTTATCTTATTACAATGGTTCAAAACACTTTTATCCTAACTCGCATATTCATTATTTACTTGAGAGACAACTTGAACATTTGTCCTTCCATTTTAAAAATTAATAAAATATCAATTTAAAATTATTGTTGAACTACAAGGCTTTTATTTTAAATTTTTACTTTCAAATATGTTTAGGAAAAAACAGAAGAAAAAAACCCTCTCTTAAATGGTTGAAATTTAAGTTTAGCTCACTTAAATTTTTGAATGAAAATTTATTTTATCCTTTCTTTTATATCATACTATTATTAAATATTCCGGTAAAGAACATTGCTATATGACATTAGTACTTAATTCTTACAATGAACAACAAAACCCTAACTTGTTTTTTACACACCCCAATTTTATGACAACTATATATAGAAAACTGAAAGTTGAGAGAATCTAAGCAATAGGTGAGATATGATTGGGTATTTTCCTTTTCCTTACTCTGCATTTCCTATTTCATTACAGATTTAACCCCAAAGATAAACCCTTCATCTCCGTCACTACAGTTTTTTCACCACCACTACCACCGCCACTGTTTCTTGCTCCTTTCATTGAGGGGGGAAGAGAGAGGGTAGCAGGTGCGCCAAACACCTCACAATATTCACGCCACTCACCTCTCTCTCTCTCTCTAAAATACCTTGAAACCCTTATCATCAGATCCTAATCTTCCAACATCAGTCCTCTTTCTCTCTCCCCATATCCATTGACGACTTCGACTCAGTCTCTGGTTGTCTCTACAGATTTCAGGTAAATTTCCGGTTCTTACTATATTAGTTTGAATGTTTGTGTTTTTCTTCACATGTATGATTGCTCTGAAGAAATTATAAATGTTTTTCAACCAAAATAACATCTAGGGATCTCTCAGGAACACAAATTCTGTAATGGGTTCTTTTACTTTTTTCGCAATCCGTGTATTTGTTTCGCGCTGTGCCCATCTTCTTGACATTTTGTTGTATTCTTGTTGAAATATACACAAACACAAACAACCAAATCATACATGTATGTTTTGTGCATATTGTTTGAATATGTTGGTTTGCAGTGTGTATAGGCTCTCTTTCTTTGTCAGGGTTGATTTATTGATGATTGTTCTTTCTGGTGTTTGTTGTTGATTCTTTTTACGATGTGGGTTTAGAGTGAATTGTTGTTTTCAATTGGTTCTAGGGATTAATGGGGCAAAAGAAGAAACCCCGAAGTGGTCAACATGATAAGCGGGGTGCAACCCGTTCTCAGAGGACTGTTTCAGAACCAAACATTCCAAGTATTGAGAGTGTTGATGATAAAGTTTCAGTTTCGAAAGAGAGGAAAATATGTGCCCATCTTGAAAAGGGTATTGATTTAGACAAGTTTTCTTCAAAAATTCGTTCTGCGGAACCTGTTAAGTGTCAAGATTGTAGGGGAAGTGCGGTCGATAGGCGAGGAAGGGGTAAACATGGGAAGAAGAAAGAAGGTGGTTCTGCAGACTCTAAAGCCATTTGGGTTTGCTTGGGATGTGGATATTTTTCATGTGGAGGGATTGGACTGCCAACCACTCCTCAAAGCCATGCAGTTCGGCATGCCAGACAATCCCGTCATCCCTTGGCTGTGCAATTTGAAAACCCTCATCTTCGATGGTGCTTCTCGTGTGAAGCACTCATTCCTGTTGAAAAATCAGAAGAGAATGGTGAACGAAGAGATGTGTTATCTGGCATTGTGAAAATGATAAAGGGGCGATCATCTGAAGGCTCAGTGGAGGTTGAGGAAGTTTGGTTTGGGACTGGCAGTGTTACAAGCGAATTAAAATTAGAAAAGGATTACACAGTATCAAGTAGTTCAGATGGAAGAGGTGTTTATGTTGTGAGAGGCTTGGTTAATTTGGGGAACACTTGTTTCTTCAACTCAATCATGCAGAATCTATTGGCGATGGATAGATTGCGAGATTACTTCATGAAGCTGGACGTTTCTGCTGGGCCTCTTACTGTTGCTCTGAAGCAGCTTTATAATGAAACTAGCCCGGAGGCAGGCTTGAGAAATGCAATAAATCCGCAATCCCTTTTGGGTTGTGTTTGTGCCAAGGCTCCCCAATTTAGGGGATATCAGCAGCATGACAGTCATGAGTTACTCCGTTGTTTACTTGATGGGTTGTGTTCGGAAGAGTTGAGTTCAAGAAAACAAGCTAATTCTTCTCAGGAAGATGGGATATCTCCAAATCAGGGTCTTCTTTACGTAGATGCTGTCTTTGGGGGCCAAATCTCCAGTACTGTTTGTTGTTTGGAATGTGGACACTCCTCAACAGTGTATGAGCCATTTCTAGATCTCTCACTACCTGTTCCAACTAAAAAACCTCCATCTAAAAGGGCCCAACCAATCTCCCGACCCAAGAAATCAAAACTGCCTCCAAAAAGAAGTGAAAGGATTCGGTCAAAAGTTAACAGAGATATTACTGTATCAGCTCCTGCTGTTTCAAACTCCCAAAATATTGGTAATTCTTCTTGCCAAATACAGTGTAGTGTTCCTGTTGCGGGAAAAGTGGTGGCTTCTTCGGATGAATCTAAATCGCCAGAATCCATTGCCCCAAGTACTGCAGACAATGACAAGGGTGCAATTTCTCATAATTTCTCAGCTACTGGGGAAATTGAAAACAAGCAATTTTTTGAAAAGGTTACTGAAGAAACGGGGGATTCATTGGACAATTTGTCATGGTTGGATTACCTTGAACCAGATATTGCCTCAAATGACTGCAATATAGATGTTCATGGGGGGGCGACGAATGATCACATTATGACTTCACAAAATAATGATGATTCAGTAATTCAAGAGTCTGGAAACAAGGTTGCTGTTCAGATTCAGAATGAAGTCTTATTGCATAATGAGTTGGAATCTAGTAGTCAGGTTTGCTCACATTATATGGAGAAAACTGTTGCTTCACCAGCTGATTTGACGTTTTTGGATTACATTGAACCAGATATTTCTTTAGACAACCATGACAGGGCTTCACAAAATAGTGGTACGCCAGTGATTCTAAACACTGGAAATGAGGATGCTGTTCAGAATAATGTCTTTTCACGGAATGATTCAGAATGTAGTAGTCAAGTCTGTTCATTTTATATGGAGTCAAGTCAAAACGTGGATACATTGGGTAATTCCCGGGAAGATGAGCTCCCATTACAAGTTCAAGGTTCTGAAGTCTTGTTGCTCCCATACAAAGAAGAGACTTCTACTCCTGACGAGATGTTAAGAGGAGAAGGTGAGGTCTCCTCATCAGCTATTGGTTATGAACAAGATTCGTTTGATGGTTTTGGAGGCTTGTTTAATGAGCCTGAAATTGATGCAGCCCTTAGTATGAAACCTTTGTCAAGTGATAATAAATTTCAGGCTAATGAAGTTGCAGAAACTGGTTTTATGGATGGACATAGTAGCGAGTCTGATCCGAATGAAGTTGATAATACTGATTCTCCAGTGTCCATAGATAGTTGTCTGGCTTATTTCACCAAACCAGAGCTTCTCTCCAATGAACATGCGTGGCTTTGTGAAAACTGTTCTAAAACTCTTCTAGAGCAGAGGATGATATCAAGAAAAAAAGAGAAGATTCCGATGTCAAAGAATGGAATAATTGGAGGTGAGGATAGAATACAAAGTGCTCCATCGGGTTCAGGCAAGGAGTGCTCCTCTCATACTGAGGTCGGTAACCTTAGTAATGGAAATATTAAGAGTGATGGATTTGGTGCTGTTGATGAAAGCTTGGTGTCACATAATGAGAGCGTTGATAATAATGAGAACTGCATACTTGAAACTGGTCAGAAAGCTGAGATAAACAGTGTAGCTTCCCAGTCGGATGAAATGAACAATGCACTTCCAGAGTTATCAGAGTCTTCAAGTAGCTATAAAACTTGTTGTCAAGAGAGTTTTAATGGTCAAGCCAGTGATTCTTGTAGTGTTCATGAGCCAAGGAGTTCTGGTTGCAATGCTGATAAAGTTCAGCAGAGGGAAACCCGGTTGTTTGCTGGGGGACGTGAATCAGAAGGAAGTGAAGATGACAAGACAGATTCTGAGAGCGTGAAAGTGAAGAGGGATGCAACTAAAACAATCCTCATTGATAGGGCCCCACCTATTTTGACCATTCATCTAAAGAGATTCAGCCAAGATTCTCGTGGTCGCTTGAGTAAATTGAATGGCCATGTGGATTTCAGAGATGCTATTGATCTCAGTCCATATATGGATCCCAGGTGTGCTTCTAGTATTCAGAGACTTTATTTTCTTTTTCCCTTTGCTATATCTACTCAAGAACCCATTTTCTTTTTCTAATTTTTTTCCCCTCATTTACAACTTCTAAAATATAGTTAATCATGGTGCCATCTCTCCCACTGCACACAAACCAGATAACACTTCAAAATTACAAACTCCACCAAATCATGGAAGTCATGAGTAGGCAAAGAACTCAACCCAAACCCAATATTTAGTTCAAGAAGTTAATGGTAAAATCCAAATAGTTCAGGAATTCTCTGTTTGCAATTTATCCTAGAAAAAAGAAAAGTCATACCATGTTGCTAAAATTGAATGTGAAGTACCAAAGGATTTTAAAAATATCAAAACAAGGCTAATGTAGGAATTAGCTATGATTCTGCTTTTAACATTAATCTGGAAATTAATCAGTTAAGCTTTGTGCGCGCTGACACACGCACAAGTACTTACATAGTATATGACATGATCAAACCAGACTTGCTGTCAATATTAATGTTCCTGCCACCCTCAATAACTTTTCGCAGGATGTATCTGTTGCCAAACCAACCAACGGATTGGATGTTCATCCCATGCATGTTGTGCATGCTGAAAATCAAGTTGATGGAAATTCGGAGCTGCCTCATCAACTTTAGACTCCAAATTAGAGTCTACTTCTAAATCTTTGTCAATTGAAATGTAAATTTTTAAATCGGACACCTACTGTATCTTAGCAACTTGATATTTGGGTTAAGTGGATTTAATCCAACTTATCAAATTTTTTTTTAAAAAGTTGGATCCGTCCAATGGTAATATGACTGTAATGGAAGTGTTGTTGGGGGACTTTTAAATATTTATCTTAAATCAGATGTAAGTTAATCATGACACACACTCCTTGATAGTGGAGGAGGTACCCTCCCTTTTTCTGATTGGAATTAAATAGCCGAACCTACTATTTTTTTAAAATTTATTCAGTTTTTTCTTTTCTTATTTATGCTCTTAAAGAGCTTCAAGTGAGGTGAAACTGGTGACTGCCTCCTTCCTTTCCATATCTTTCATCTGAGTAGTCAGCTTCTTGAATGAACAGGCATCTTTTCCTCCCTTTCTAACGCATCCGTTGTGACTTCACCTTCCTACTTCTTCTATCATCTGAAGAAGAAGCTGAACCTTCAACTTCTTTGCCCTCTGCCCACCTTTTTTTGTCTGTTTCCTGTTCAAGAGATGGCAAGCTTATTCACGATTTTTGATGAGAACAGCAGCACCTGTCGGTTTGTTTTTACTAGAATTATGGTAAAGTCAACTATCAATATTTATTGAGAAAACAAAATCCAAATTTAAACCATATGTGAACAAAAACATTAAAATTAAAGAGGGCTTTACTGACTTTTACATAGAGGGAGAAGACCAATGATGGTCTTTTCTATGGAACATTTGAAGCTTGGTGTGGGTTGAGAGGACTGGAGAATGTTTCTTATCTTGAATTATCTCAAGACACTTTTGAGGATACTATGCGTGCCATGCCTTAGTTTTAATTGTGATTGGTTGCATAAATATTCAAAATTTAGAGCATTTCTTTCTTGCTAAATCATCACAAGTTCCATATCGGTTGTGTACAGAGTGGTGTTGTACTTCTAATGAAGGTAAAGAGGATCCACAAGTGACCGATCCTTTTGGGTGTGAAATCGTCAAGTTCCATATCAGGTGTGTACAGATTGGTCTTGGACTTCTTATGTAGGTATGGGACTGATCCTTTTGGGTGTGAAATCGGCTATGTGGCAGTGGTGTCAGACCCAGCTTAGGGGTACTACACGTGGCTCGTGTAACTGTTGAGCGGCTCTTATGTAGATATGTGGGTTCCCTTTGCAAGGGCTCATTGGTTTGGTCAGGGGAGTCTGTTACAGGCTCTGTTGCATAGTCTCTCCTATTTCTCTTACCTACCTGTCTTGACACGATACAACATGGGTGGTACATGATATGTCTTTTGGGCATGTCCCCAGTGCCCTAAGATTTGGGATGTGAGAAGGTCCGACACATGTACATAAATCCACATTCGATACGCCCAGTTCCTGGTAACTTAGGCTATGGAGGCATGTTCTAAGTTCCATAATTGGATTTATTGTGTGTGTTCCTGTACTCCATAAATTTTTCTGTCTGTTAAGTTATCTGATGAACTAATTTGGAAATGAAGACGAGTAGAATCATATAAATGCTCTTTGATATCTTTATTTTTATTTTTTATGCATTAAATGGGACAAATTTTACACACACTTAACAAAGTGGACATCCACACAACCATATTGAAGTTTTTATAAATGCGCTAATTCAATTCAAATATCACATTTATTCGAGCATAGCATGCATTGGTGCTCATCTACACTTTTTTTACATGCTTTGCACTCTCTAGCTACTTGTTACATGTGCTTCTTCTTGTTGGTATTTTGCAACTGGTTCCTGATTTCTAATCTGTTGATGTAGCCTGTTTCTACAGCAAGCTCAAAGCTTTGCTGTGTGTCTTGATATGAATTTCTTGATTTTAAGTGGTAATAGTTCTGAAGTTATCTCAAATAATATTTACAGGTGCACAGAGAGAGAGAGGTACAAATACCGTCTCGTTGGGGTGGTGGAGCATCGGGGGACAATGAGAGGAGGTCACTATGTTGCATATGTTAGAGGAGGTGCAAAGGGCATGGGGAAGGCTGAGAGAGAAAATGGAAATTTCTCGTGGTACCATGCCAGTGATGCTTATGTGCGAGAGGCTTCTTTGGAAGAAGTTCTTCACTGTGAGGCCTACATCTTATTCTATGAATTTTTTTGAGAAACAGCTCCTCTTCGCATTCTTTTTGTGATGTTTGAATAGAATTTGGGAATTAATCCAAGCACCCGCACAGGAGGGTACAACAATTATTGTACCCATTTTTTTGATTCAGAAAAGAGAGAGAGAGAGAGTACAACAATTATTGTACCCATTGTTTTGACTTGGAAGAGAGAGAGAGCGACAGCAATTACAAAAATATTGATACCCATTTTTTTTTGTTACAATTGCCAAGAATCTTTGCTATATATATTATCATCACACGAATCATTTGTGGGATGGTTTCTGCAACTACTTAGTGCCGAAACACCAGGTTCATTTGATTTGTCATTCTCTGTATAGCAAGTTTTTAGTTGTTCAGAAATCAGGATGTGGGAAATATGTGTTTCGGATGAAGGTCAGGCGAATGATTTTTCTTAACTGCATTTGTCCAACCTATAGCTGGCGGAAAATAGAAGCCGGAAATTGATCTGTCCTGCAATTCAGCTAGTGTGAAGCTGTTGGCGCTATTAAACGAAGGTACAGATAGAAGGCACTTTTTTCTGATATACTCAATGATCTAACATACTGCAAATGATCTGAAGCAGGGATGTGTTCAGTCCCAGAAACAACTTGCAGGTCTTGGACAGATTCACTAGGGCATTTACAGCCAATGAGCCTTGTCCATTGCCAAAAGCTTGAGATGATGAGAAGCAATCAGATGACCGGTTCCTGATGCAACCATTGTCGTGACAACAGCTCTGTGGCATGTTTGTCTGGTCGTGGAAGCTAGTAGCTGCCTCAGTCAAAGGCGGGCTAACTACACCTGTGCGGAGTCAATTTATATTGGTAAACATTATTCTCTATCTGGATGGCTAGGGTTTATACTGAAATTTTGTTGGTCGTCAAGATGATAAGAGTTGGAGAAATTGAAAATACTGAGGTCTGGTTTATTATGTCTATCTACATCAAAGAGATGAGAATGCACTCAAAGTCCAACCCATGAATTTCAGTATGAACATTTCCGGTGGACTATCAAATGTTTGAACTATACTTTCACTACATCTCACGAATAAGCTCTAGTCTAGATGGAATATGCTGTTTGCTTGAAGTTTTGAAAAAAAAAAAAAAAAAAATATCACTGCATCGTTCCACTGTGGAATCCCTATGAAGACAAAAAGTGTCACAGAGTCCTATTAAGATTACTTGTTATGTAGGTTGGTCCAGAAAGCCATATTACAACTGCTGGTTATGTATTTTAGTGGTTGCCTTTTACTTTAAGAATACTATTTTTACAATCAATACAGGGACTTTGGTCCCTTTCACACATTCATTATATATATATATATATATATATATATATATATATATAGAGAGAGAGAGAGAGAGAGAGAGAGAGAGAGAGCGAGAGGTGTGATAGATACAACTGTGTAGTTGTTCCAAAGCAAATTAAGTGAAGAGAAAAGCTAAAACGAACTTCATCTCGGTACAACAATCATGGATTATCTGCTTTTGGACTCTGCAGATTATGTTAGATTTCGGACCTGGCCAAAACAGTATAAGAATTATGCTGTCAAAGTTCTGCAACACATTAATTTAAAGTACGGAAGCACCACATGATTCAGTCAAATTTTATATACTCTCGTCAGATCAAATTTGATCAATATTCAAACTGAAACTTTATACTACGTATTCACTGATTAGTATTATTTTATTTTAAATTACTTTTGAAACAATTAAATTACCATATGCTTTTTTATTTTATTTTTTGGGTATCATATCTAGGATTCTAGTGCATATCTGTTGGTTCTAACAACATATCATCTTAGAGTACAAAACAAGGCAAGCTGGTACTTTCACTAATATTATATTTTTATATATACTATCCTAAAATTTCTCATGCGTAACTCCAAAGTCCAAGCAGCAATATTCATTCAAAGCCGAAAGAAGAAAAGAAAAAGAAAAAGAAAAAAAAAAAAAAACTCTACGTACCCCGGCCTTTTGATTCTCTCTCTAGACATCCCTCTCTCTCTCTCCTCTCTTCTTCTTTTTTGTTTTTGCTTTACCAATCACTACTGCCATGGCAGCATTGGTGGCCAAGGTGGTTGTGATGGCAGTGGTAGGGCTATCAATGATGATCACCACGGTGGAGGCGGCAACCTGGTGCGTGGCGAGAAGCGGAGTGGGAGCGGTGGCGTTGCAGACCTCTCTGGACTATGCGTGTGGGGCAGGGGCGGACTGTGCACCCATTCAACCATCTGGGTTGTGTTACCTTCCGAACACCGTTGAAGCACATGCTTCCTATGCCTTCAACAGTTTCTACCAGCGCAAGGCCATGGCACCTGGCTCATGTGACTTCTCTGGCACCTCCACCCTTGCTGGAACTGATCCCAGTTTGTCACTCTCTCTCTCTCTCTCTCTCTACACTTTCTCTCTCTATATATCTTTGCTGGATTTTATTTTTATTATATATAAAAGGATCCGGCCAAATCTCTATTCCGAAGACAAGGCTAATATAGGAATTTATTTTATTTTTATTATTATTATTTTATTTTTTTTCAGGTTATGGGTCATGTGTTTATCCATCGTCTCAGAGGTATGCGTGGCCACTTGCTTTTATTTCATTTTCTTTTAATTTTTTTTATTTTCATCTCAATTGTTGATACATGAATACTCTCAGTCTTCTAATTTTTTGGGTTTAGAATGCCGTTTGTACAATTTCCCCTTTTTAATTACACGCCTATGTTAATTTATATATATGGTGAATGCCATTTATAGCACGTTAGGTTTCGAATAGCAGTATATATGTATTTTAAGACCGCTATATGTTGCATAAGAGTTGGGAGAAGTTCGAGGCATTTGGTATTCATATATTTTTTTTTATTAAAAAAACACAACTTAAACTTAAACAAATTTAAAATGAATTTTATAATTTTTTTTTAAATATAGACAAATACTTAAATATCATAATAACAAAAATGTGAATAAAACTGTCGCTAATAAAATAATATTTATTTATATATTTATTAATTGGAATATTTTTGCTAGCTTGAAATGAGAATCTTGACACACAATTCTGGCCTATTGTTTTTTCTGTTACTTCGACATTCTTTAATTACACTTCGATTTCCTTTCTAAAAAGCACCAATAATCTAAGAATTCCAACCAAAAATAATTCACATTTATTATTACTTATTTTATTTAGACCACTTTTCTTTCTTTATTGTCAAGTAATATATACCATTTTTATTTTTGCCCTTTAAATGGACAAGAAATTATATAATTTCTTGTCCATTTAAAGGACAAAAATGAAAATTGTATATGCATGCGACACGCAAGAGAGAAGTTCTAGAATATTTTACCTAGAGAAGTATAGAGTGTTAAAAATTTTTAAAATATTTAAGTGATTGTACAAATTTGTAGAGGATAGAAGATTCTAAAATATTAGGAAATTTGGTAGAATGCAAGTAATTTAAGAGATTAAAGTAGAAATATGAGGTCTATAAATAAAAAAGGATGTGATTTGTAAACAAGAAGTTATGAGAGTGAGTGAGAGTCAATACGGGTGTAATAATTCACGAGGCGATATTTATCTTTGCTAGAATTTATTATATATGAGATATAACTTCATTATAAAAATGTATACTCTCCTGAACAAATTCCTCTCGAAAATTTCATTTTTTACCCAATTCTATTTCTTTCTGTATTTGTGATGTGAGAAAATTTTCTCCCACGTTTTTGTATATAAAAAATTAAAAAAAGAAGAAAGTTTAATTGCGTTCATACATTAGTAAAAGTAACCGTCCCAGTTAAATATTTAAAAAAGTCTTAGGTTGAAAGAATAATAAAAATAAACTAGTAAAAATAAATTGCGGTTACAATTAAACTTATAATATTAATTAAAATTATCCTAAAAATAATTTTGTAGTCTCCATATGGAAGGGTTTGGTTGAAAGAATAATAAAAATAAACTTGTAAAAATATATCGCCCTTACCATTAAACTTATAATATTAATTAATTTAAAAAAGTCTTAGGTTGAAAGAATAATAAAAATAAACTAGTAAAAATAAATTGCGGTTACAATTAAACTTATAATATTAATTAAAATTATCCTAAAAATAATTTTGTAGTCTCCATATGGAAGGGTTTGGTTGAAAGAATAATAAAAATCAACTTGTAAAAATATATCGCCCTTACCATTAAACTTATAATATTAATTAAAATTATCGTAAAAATAATTTTGTAGTCTCCTACGAAAGGGTTTCATCAAATTTTACAAAAATATAAGTAATAAAGTTCTCAGACCTATATAGCAAACTATATATATATATATATAATGTTTATATCGATCAAATTTGGCTACATGACCCCCCTTTCACCACTGTGGTCCATCTAAAGCCATAATCTCAATTAAACCACTCACTGTGTATGATAAGTTTTTCTTATCCAAACTTATATGGATATAATTTTGTCACTTCCAGCTACACTATGATGTCCTAGAATTCATATCAAGATCAAGAGGGGAAAAAAAAATGTACAAGGACAGTGTGTTTTATTCTCAGTCAATTTCAACTAAGATCTGCAATTTTATTGGATTGAAAAAGAACATGTAACAAGGAATTTCTAGCCAAACGAGTTATATATATATTAGTTTAGCAAATTTTTTATCCTGCACTGAATAATGTTCGTCTTAAAATTATATGACAAAGTGTTGTTTTTTCTATGCAAATTGTGATATAATGACTTGATTTTGTTAAACAAATGCTTACTGACTTGCATTCTGCAAGTTTTCAGCGCGGCTGGTGGAGGGACAACTATACCGGCCACGACGCCAACTCTAGGTGTACCGATGCCGCCAGGAACCACCACTTCACCATATGGCAATGGAGGACTCACTCCCGGCGTGGGATCTGTTGTACCCAACATAGATAATTCTAATTCCAAAGCTTCCCTGGGGTCCTCACACACAATATTTCTGGTTTCTGTCTGTATCTTTGTTGTTCTCTCATTTTTATTTCAACCCATGTAGTCTTTGAAGCTCCATTTCATTGATTTAGTTAGGAGGACTAGGTTGATTTAGTACATTTTTGTTAGAAGTTAGGACTTTTTTTTTTTTTTTTTTTTTTTTCAGAATACCATATGATTTAATGTTCCAATATTGTCAGAACATTGTACTTTTCACATGAAATTCAATTCAATTTTAGAATGGTTATTTTGATGAATCTTTTTTCCAGATCTATATCATGAAATTACCATCTTTTAAGTATTTATGAATGCTCGGAACCAACAATCAATTTTCAAGATCTTCATGTGTCTCTCTTGTTGTCTTTATATAATTTATAATGCTGAAAGAGCTAAATTTCTCAAGACTTTGTCATCTCATTGTGCTAAATGTTGCAAGCACAAAATCAATCAATTTTTTGTTTTTGACCTTTTTCAATAATCTCGACCATTATAGATTTTATATATGGATACTCGAACTTTCATCTTACGCGTAGCAATATGCATGGATACTCGAACTCTCATCTTAGGTGTATCGAGAATGAAATTGAGATTAAAGTCTTCACTTTGAACTTACTAAGGTCCTAGACTCTTTTACTATATGTAAAATAGAAATAGATATGAATGATCAATTAGTATTGTAAAAGAATACTCTTATCAATAAAAGCAATGAATTAAATCACTTTTCCCATTTTCTGTAATGCTAGATATATTAAATGAAACACATAGAATATCACGAATAAACATCGAATTCTAATACATCGTGTACACTAATTTTGATATAATTTAAACCACCAGGGTGTTAAATCTATAAAAGTCATGGTTAAATTCTGTAAAAAATCATGGTTCAAATCATTATAAAAAAAAGTGATAGTGTAAATTTCTTTTAAAAAAAATAAAAGTGATAGTGTAAATTTCTTTTAAAAAAAATAAAAATAAATAAATAACTTGAAATTCAATACAGAGTCATTTATTATAAAACCGAGACAATATATTACAAATCTCATATATTTCACACTAACCAATTATACAAGAACATATGGTGTCCTATAGTAATCATTACTCACAATTTTTTTTTTAATTTTTAAAAAGTAAATTCTAAGTCTAATCAGGCCTCACTCGCTTTAAACTAATAAAATTTCCATTTATCTATCTTTATATTTATATTTAAACAAAAAGAAAAAGAAAAGAAAAAAAATGAAAAATAGATCTTAGCGTTATTCTATATTGGTTTCGAGATTCTGATTCATGAGTGGAACTGGGGTTTCCATTGTAGTTCCCACTTTCACCGTTTGACGAACCCTTCCTTTTTACCGTTACATTATTCTCTTCTATCCCGTGAAACCCAAATTTCCTTGAATCAATAATCTGTTGGGGAAATTTTCTGGGCAGATCTGCTTGCTGGGTTTGGGGGCAACACTTTTTTTCCGTTGATCCAAACACATATATCGAGTAGGAAAGATGAATATATTCAGATTAGCAGGGGACATGACCCATCTCGCCAGTGTCCTCGTTTTGCTCCTCAAGATCCACACCATTAAATCATGTGCTGGTACATTCCCTTGCATTTCTTACTCTTTAATCTATGTATATACACACACAAATATATGTTTATAAATTTTATATTTATGGATTTTTTTCTTTTTTGGTGGATCATGATTTATTCTAATTTATTATATATATATATGTATGTTCTTTTCAATGTGAATAACTGAGATTATGAAAATTTTAGGGGAATTTTATAAGATGATTTGGGTGGGTCAGAAACTGGGTTTTAGTTAGTTTTGTGTGAGGTTGCTTAACTTGTTAATTTTGTGGGTAATTCCTAGAAATAAGCCAGTAGTGGTCTTAAGCTTATCATTTGAGTATTGCATACCAAATCTACTATATTAGATTTGATAGGAAGAGGTATAGCTTTGAATTTGAGATGCCTTCAAGTCTGAAAGCTGTTAATTAGCCTCTTCGTTATAGATTTTGAATGTGGCCTTTTGAGGCTGAGGATGAGATGTCAATGTGCTATTGTTATGTGGAGTCTTTTTGGATTTGAACAAGGAACATACTACGAATTTGTCAGTCTTACGCTATGCAAAGAACTCTAGTAATGTGAGCATGGAGTCATGGACAGGGTTAATTCTAAAAAAGGCGAACACGGGCTTATTGGAAGTACCCAAGCATTGGTAATTTTTTTTGAGAAGTACATTACCTAGTGTTTATTCTACCTAGTTGGGATGCTGGACGGGCAAGAGTCAAGACTGGAGACAAACTTAAGTACATGACCTTTAGCATTCGGCATAAGTGATTGATCTTAAACCTATTTTATCATTGAACTAGGCGATAACTCCTATATTAATATTCTTATAAGAGCTGCTATTATATGATACAGAACCAGATTACGTGACTGTATACCAATTCCATGATTACTTCTATAAGGAATAATTTATTGCAATAGTCCTACAAGGATTAGACGAGGGCAAGAAAAGATAAGATGGATGAGGCTCTGACTAAATCTAGAAGGCAAGATGTCAAATGAAGTTATGGTGTTGAGTACTGACAGAGAAAAGTAGGAAAAATAAAGCATATAAATGACCCCAAATAACCAGGATTGTTCTCTTGAGTTGATTTCACATATAGGTATACAGTCTTAAGAATGACTGACGCAAAACTAGTAAAAAATGTACTGGATGATTCTAATCTACCAACCTAGATGTTAATGCATTTCAATTTGAACACTTGAAATGAAATAGTTTCCAAGCGGGAAAAAAGCATCTATTTTTCTTGTAATTTAATGATATTACATTGTAGAATAGTAACTTGTCTAACCTTCTTGTTATATGCGTTCATTAATTACAAAAAAAAAAGAAAAAAAAAAGAAAAGAAAAAAAGGGTAATGTGTATATATTATTCCATATATTTTAATTTACTTATATTATTTTTAGCTAATTTATTGTAAAAGTTTTTGCTTTCTCTTATCTAGGTGCTAATCTTGTTTCCATATATGTTATGATCTAAAGGTGACTTTGCTATATGTATTTCATTTGATCACGGGTCATGATTATAACAAGCTCTTTTTTAGTAATCTTACATGTTGATTTTCAATTTTGACTTATTTTTGTATGCAGGGGTATCGCTGAAGACTCAAGAACTCTATGCTCTTGTTTTTGCGACTCGCTACTTGGATATATTTACTGATTATATCTCACTTTATAATACTGTAATGAAATTAATCTTCTTGGGCAGCTCTTTCTCAATTGTCTGGTACATTCGGCACCACAGGATTGTCCGCAGATCTTATGATAAAGACCAAGACACCTTTCGCCATATTTTTCTTGTGTTGCCTTGTTTCCTTTTTGCCCTACTTATACATGAGAAGTTCACCTTCAAAGAGGTATGCATGCTTTCCATTTAATTATTTATTTGGGTATATGTTGGGATCATATAGCTCATATTTTTGTGGAAGTTAAGGTTGTTCCACCTAAAGCATGTGACCTAAAGCATCTGACCTACTGCATGTACTATCCTTTTGATCATATCTTCACTTTCTGAAGTACTTCTACTGGATATAAATTTGCAGGTAATGTGGGCATTTTCCTTGTATTTGGAAGCTGTTGCAATACTTCCTCAGCTGGTCTTGTTGCAAAGGACACGAAATATTGACAATTTGACGGGGCAATATGTTCTTCTTCTTGGGTAATCTAGTACTCCCTGATTATTGTTTTCTTAACTGCTAAAATCAGCAGAAAAGTAACAAATTAAGTTGCAGGTAGATGTAAATTAGAAGAAAAAGATCGAGACCATCCCTTTTTTAATAACTTTTTGGGTTATACATTTGAAGGTCTTTGTTAGCAACTCAAAACTTTTATCAGCTAAGAGAACAAGATTAAATCATATGGTGTAAATCTTTCGGTCATCCTTATTTTTTACTTAGTTAATATTGTAATCTGGACCTACTAATTTTTGTTCTCACCAGTAGTGACAGGCATTACTTATCCAAAAGATTTTTATGTGCTCTGTTTACTTCTATATTGAACCTTAAGAATGAGATTTTAATCATGCAACATGGAACTCCTTGTTCTTGAAATTACCTCAATAAAACTACTTGGAAAAAGCAGACGTCGTTTACCTAGTACTCTGTTGAAGCTTTTGTTTTTGTGTTTTATATTTATATTTTAAAAAAATAATGCTAATCTTGGCTGTCATGAGGTTGTAGAAGCTCTAAAGTGAATTTTGTTTCGGCAGTTGTGGGATACAAATTCAAGTACCATCGTTTATTGGAATTTCATTTGTTTCCTGAACGAAGTTGGTGGGTTGGGAATAAATTCCCTTAACTTTGATGATCAAGAACTTTTATGGTTATAGAGGTTTGCAGTTGAGAAGAATTGTCTGTGGGAGACGGTGCTTGGGGGTGGTTGTGGGGGCAGGTGGAGAGGAGGAGAGTGGTGGAGGTAGACTGAGGATATAAGTGGATTATGAGGCGAGTATTGGCATATCAATTTGGGATGGGAAAGAATTCACTAGAAAAGTGATTAGGCTCAAACTTCGGCATGGTGAGCAGGTGATATTAAGTTAAGATGTTTGGTATAGGCAGTGCCTTCTAATGGGGATACTCTGAAAAGGTGAATATAAAAGCTTGGGTAATGGACATATTGTTTGGAGGAGCCATAATTCGCTGGAACTTGACTTTCATTTGATGTTACAACATTTGGTTGTTGTAACTGTTCAATTTTTTATTTAACAAGATTTTCTTACCATGAAGTTATATCAAAGACATTGAGAGGAGATTCAAGGAAGTGAAAACAGTTATTTTTGTTGAACAATAATTGACTCTAGAAAAAAGGGGGGGGGGGGGAAGAATAGGGTCAATGGCCAATTAATAAAATTTACAATTTCACTAGAGATAAACAATTATGCAATAGTCAATTAAAGTAGATAATAATTCAAAGCATAAATATAAGAGAGATAGGGATAAGAATTTGCAAACAATGACACGGAGATTTTTAGCAAGGTTCGGAAGCTCCTATTCCTCCGCTCAAGATCCTTCTTGAGATTTCTCAATCTACTAGAGCTTCTCCTTAATGGTGGAGACTGGAGAGCAAACCTTCATATGAAACAAGCCTTTGCTTCCCTTTCTTGCTAGGAGAACACCTTTCTCCTAGGCTTCTTTTGGGTCACACCAACCCTTACAAGTTTGTAGAAAAGATTATAGTTGAAGTACAAGATTGAATCTCTCTCAAGATGGATTTACAATTTTTAAGCTCACAACTAGAGTAAGTAAATGAATGAAATAAAGCTCAAATCTCTAGATTGGAATGAGTGATCAAATGATTGCATTAAATGCTCTAGAATGAAGCTCTTGATTAATCTTCAAATTGCTCTCAATAGATGTGTGTATAATAACACAAGCTGTAGCTCCTATTTATAGAGAGAGGAAGTCAATATAGCTGTTGGAGGTCAATATAGCTGTTGGAGATGTGGTGTCAATAATCCAAGTTCGTAGGTAGCCGTTTGATTTGAAATTGACTTGTATCAGTCGGCTGATGGAGCATCATCGGTTGGCTGAAAGCCTTTCGACAGCCGGCTGATCTTCAATCGTTGGTCGGCCGAAACGGTTGTTTAAAGTTACAGCTCTCGGGACTTCATTTTATCGGTCGGCTGATGGATAACCTTCGGTCGGCTGATACATATATAATTTTGTGAAAACCCTCATCGGTCAGCTGAAACTTCATGTTCGGTCGGCCGAAACACTTTTTGGCCAAACCAAACTTACTGTGAACCTCCATTCTCCTCTTTTTATTCGGCTTCAAAGATTAACATTTGAATCTATGGCACTCTCCAAACCCGTCTACTCCATTTGAAAAGTCAGACTTGATTACTTTTCTTCTCCGCGTTTCACCTTTGAAGTTTGAAGTGAATAACTCGTTTTCTTTTGTCTTTGGAGTGCATATGCTTGGCTTTACCTTTCCTTGATTTCCACTTCGCTTTTAGACCCAAGTAACAAACCTGTTATGTGTTCTCAAGGCAAACGTTAGTCTTTAAAACACAGTTAATGTTTTGTGATTATCAAAATTGGTTTTAGGGTTAACAATCTCCCCCTTTTTGATGATGACAAAACATTGATGTGTTTTAGAAATAAGTGGAGTTACATTTAAACATGCTCCCCCTATCATTATGCTCATTTGTACTTCATAGCAAGTAATTAAAGATAATTTAAGGCTGCAACTGGAACTAGGCATTTTTCATATATGCCTCCCCCTATTTTTATGCATTGTATGTAAAATTGACAAGTAGACATATCCAGAGAATTATATAGAGACTGACATTGATATTTAGAAAAATGAGTGCAATAGTCCATCCAAGTTTAAAACAGTCTATCAATTAGAACAATAGCATAAGCCAAATACCACCAGAATAAACCAATGTCAACAAAAAACAACACATCATCTCCCCCTTTTGCCATCCTCAAAAAGAACATATAATCTAGGAAGGTAAGCCAATGTACCAAAATAAACTAAGAAATAAGAACCACAACCAGAGAATAGATCCTCAATAAGGAGGAAGATCTGCAGCCATACGCAATTCCTTGAGATTCTTCTTGATGGAGTCGACATCACCCTCAAGAGTGTCTAGACGTCCAGCCATATCATTGACTGTAGCTTCAGTCCGGCGAGAGATGCTGATATGCTCATGTAGAAAAGCATTTTGCTGCGTGAGGAGCTCGAGAATAGCCGGATCGGTCTGTGGAGGAGGCAGAGGAACATAAGGATCAACTGGAGGGGGATCGTCATGGTCATCATCCTTATGCCCAACAGGAGTTGGAATATTGGGAGGGACGAGAAATTCCCCATCATCGCGAAGTTCTCCCCTTTTTAGGGCCTCATTCCAAGCGCGTTCAATTGGATTGAACCAAAACCCACTATTATCCATTTTAAATCCCATTAATCCAAGAGTGGTGGATGTGAGTTTGTTATGGGGCCCTTGATCCTTTTTCACTTCCCGTCCAACGGATACCCCCTTTGCTAGAAAGATGAGACTCAATGGCATAGCATAAAAGAGGTGTTTGTCTTCACTCTGTTGGCACTCAAGAATATGATAAAACATGAGAAAAGCAAGATCAAAATCCTTACCATTAAGGATGCACCAAATGAGGAATGCCTCCATATATGAGACATCAGAGCGACCTCCGGATTTGGGAAGGATGGCATACATGATGATGTTGTAAATGATTCTAGCTTCCAAAGTGAGCTGTTTGGCCCTGAACTTTGTGAGTATTTGTGATCAGCTTATTGTAGCTCATTTGCCGAACGGCCTCAAGCTCATTGAATCCCTCCCCTTGGTACCATGTGAAGGTGGTGAAATACTTGATGGATCCCTCGGGTAAGTCAAGAATTGTTCGAATGGTAGGAATATCTAAGGTAAAGCTAGTACCTGCAACAAATGATTCCACTTGCAAGGTTTGTGGAATATTTTCGAGATGGGTGTAGAAGAGTTGAACCAAACGAGGATAGAATGGGACATCCATAGTTACATACTTTCCCAATCCTATGGCATCAAAGAGGTCGTAAGTGTTGAGATGAAGGGCCTCACATTCAGATTTTGACAAAACTTTCCCGAAAGCAACTTTTCTATGAAGGAACTTAGTGTCATAGAGATTTTTCATGGCTGGATTCTTAAAAAGAGCAAGATTGGAAACTGGCAGGGGCTCGACATTGCTAGCCTCGACATTGCTAGCCTTGGCTTGGTCAGTGTGACTTGTTTTCTTTCGTTTGGAAGATGGGCGAGGGGGGTTTCTCCTAGGCTCAAAGGATGACATGATTTGAGGTTTTGGAAAATTCTTTTTGACAGAAAATCAATAGAGAATCCCAAACACAAATCAATTTTGACAGAGATTTTACATCAAATTGTTCTGAAAATGATTGAAATGTCCCAGAAAAAAATTTGATATAGAACTAACAAGAAAATACAGTCAACACAGAGATTTTTAGAAAAAATTAAAAGAAAGTTTGAATGAAGACCTTAATTGTATAGAATAAAAACCTCAATAACATGTCTTAATAGAATTCTAGGGTTTTAAAAAAAACGGGAAACACAAATCCAATGCAAACCCACGAAGTTTTGCACAAATCAGACTCAAGAATAACACAATGAATACTGAGATTTGGAAATCCCCAGATTGATTTCAGGTTTGCGCAAATAGAAATTTTGACAGAATGTAAATACAACCATTTCAGAAATCCCAAGGTTGATTTAAACCTACATGATACCCATAACTGAATAATTTCAGGGAGACATGACGAACCCCCAATTCGATTTCTAGATTGCACAAAAAAAAGTGACTTTGACAGAACAAGATTAGGGTTTTGCAAACATGAGATTAAGATAAATGGAAATTCTAAGATAAACACATAGGATGAGAGTAGGATTTTATAGCATCAACCCACAGAATCAACATAGAATTCGTGCATGAATTTGGAAGATTTGACAGAGAGCGCATGTAACAGAGATTGAAACGTATATGGAAAGAGGAGATTATAAATTGATAGAGATGTGAGATACACTTACCGGAGAAGATGAATTTGGCGAAAGGGATGAACCAATGGCAATTGAGAGACTTGGGAGAGTGACCAGCGACGAAGATGGAGAGAAACCCTAGTTCTAAAAATGAAAAAATGATTTGTTAACCCTAAATAAAA